ACCTGAGGGCATCTGGGCCAAGTTGAGTGCTTGAAGGCAGAGAGGGGGCAGAGGCCGGCTTTTGGGGAAGGAGTCCTCATGGGGCAGTTCGCTTTTTTTTTTTTTTTAAGTATTTTTATTGATTTCAGAGAGGAAGGGAGAGAGAGAGAGAAGCATCAATGATGAGAATCATGGATCGGCTGCCTCCTACACGCCCCCGACTGGGGATGGAGCCCACAACCCAGGCATGTGCCCTTGGCCAGAATCGAACCTGCGACCCTTCAGTCCGCAGGCTGACGCTCTATCCACTGAGCCAAGCCGGCTAGGGTGACAGCTGGCTTTTTGAGGACAAAGCATGCTGGGAGGCTGGTGGGGCTTCAGAGACGAGCCCGGCACCCCAAGTCTCTAAGGGCCAAGGTCTGTGGGGGTGGTCCCGGGTCTGGTGGAGGCTTGAGACCCATCAGAGTCCCAAGCCCTACCGGGTGCCACCCTTCTTCTGGGGCAGCTGTGGGCAGAGACGGAGGAGCTCCCTTTCCTGGTGGATTTTGGGATTCTCTGGAAATTAAATGTCAGTGCGGAACACACTTTCCGACGTGGTGCGGGCCCGTCTGCGGGAGAATTCCTGGAGTTTCCGGGCAGGGCGTGGGCAGGAAGCCGGTGGCTTCTCGAGTCCGGCTGGGTCTTCCTGGGCTTGCGGTTCTTTCCAGGGCCGTCCGGGCTCTGCGGGTCCCGCCTTCGCCCGCTGTCTGGATTGCAGCTAGGTCCCATCTGGCTGTCTAGGTTCGATCTGAGCTGTCTGGCATCTGTCTGTGCCGAGTCTGGTTCGGTCTGAGCCCGTCTGGTTCTGCCAGGGTCTGTCTGCGATCTGCCTGGACCCTGTTGAGGTTCCATGGGAGCTCTTCTCTTTAGATGCCCACCCCCTCCCCGGGCCCCCCACAGGCAGACGCTTTTTGGATCCTGTCTTGATTTCACTCAGGCTCTGGGACTGACTCGTAGATTCTGAGTGGTTCTTCCTGGGACTCAGGGTGAACCCTTTAAGTTTCCCGTGGGGCTGGTTAGGGCTGCAGGTGTACTTAAGCTGGGAGGACTCAGCGTTTGTCCTCAGACTTCTGCCCCACGCACAGAACCTTGAGTCAGGAGGGTAGCACCAGTGAGCCTCCCTGCCCTCCCCTTTTCCCAGCTCCTAATGAGTGTGCGGACCTGAGGCTCTGAGGCTGGGAGACCAGCTGGAGCGGGGGGCCTCCCGGATGCCCCGGGGTGCAGGTGACCGCGGTGTCCACACGTAGCAGCACGCAGCTCTGCCCTGGGTCTGTGTGTGAGTGAACGTCAGCCTGTTCCTGGGTCTCCGTGTGGGTGTCAGTGGGCCTGTCTGTGTGCCTGGTGTGTGTCACTGGTCTCCGGTGGAGGTGTGGGTGTGTAAATCCCTTTGTGTCTGTGAGCCCTGGGGGTGGAGGGCTGAGCAGCTGCAGGTTGCAACTAGGAAATCCAAGCAAGTGAGAGTAGGTGGGTGTGAAGTGGGAAGAGGCTGGATGAAAGCAAGTGAATACACCAAGGAGAGTCGGGGAGTCAGCGGGGCAGCGGGGGCAGAGCAAGCTGAGGGGGTGCAGGTGGGCAGCAGGAGGAAGACACAGGAGGGAGGGAGGTCGGGGTGCTGCTGTGTCTCCTCCAGCCCTCATGGGGCCTGACTGCTTGCTCAACCCGGCACCGCCCTGTAGCCGGCAGTGAATTGACCTTGTGGAGGGGACAGGGACGTGGCAGGGAGGGGGGCACGCAGGCCAGGAAGAAGAGGGAGCAAGGTGAAGCCTGGCCCGGGGGCTGAGGGATGGTGGGGAGGGTCCGGCTCCTGGGACTCCATTCCAGACCCCTTCTCAGAGCCCAGAGCCAATCACTGCAAGGCCGACATTCAGCTGGTTGTTACAGTATTGAAACACCTCCGTGCTGGTTGGTTAATAACAGGTGCTGTGCGTTCCCAGGGCCACATCCACCCCTGAGAGGCGCCTTCTGCTCATTCTCATCAGCTCCCTGGCCTCCGGTGTGCTGTTCCACCCCATGGCCAGTGTTCGTCCTGACTGCCTGGGGGCTGGCCGTGCACCCTGCCCATGGCCCCTCCCAGACTCCTGCTCTGAGCCTCGAGCTGGCAGCAGCAGGGCCAGGGTGGGGCTGCTCACGGTCTCCACCTTGCTTGGTCTCGCAGGCGAAAGACAGTGACGATGAGGAGGAGGTGGTCCATGTGGATCGGGATCACTTCATGGATGAGTTCTTTGAACAGGTGACTGAGTCTCCAATACCCCAGACCCAGAACCTGGCCCCCAGCCAACAACTCCCCCCTCCCCACTCTCTAGCCCTCCACCCCTTGGCCTTTTACCAGTCCCTCTGGGTCTGCCCATTTCCCTGAACCCTGAGTGAGCCCCGTGGATGCCCTGTCTGGCCTGAAGACTTGACTGGGCATCGCCCATTTGCCGCCCCAGGTGGAGGAGATCCGGGGCTGCATCGAGAAGCTGTCGGAGGATGTGGAGCAAGTGAAAAAACAGCACAGCGCCATCCTGGCCGCCCCCAACCCGGATGAGAGTGAGTGCTGCCGCGGGGCGGCCGGGGGCTGGGGCTGGGCTCCACCCAGACTCCTCACTCACCCTGGCCCCCTCCTCAGAGACCAAACAGGAGCTGGAGGACCTCACTGCAGACATCAAGAAGACCGCCAACAAGGTTCGGTCCAAATTGAAAGGTGAGGACTGCAATCCCCCCACGAAGGAGAAAAAGGGCTCTGCTTCCGGCGGCCGACAGGCCTTTCTGTCAGGAATGTCTGCACGCTGCTAGGAGCCAGGTTCTTGCACAGTGAGAAAGCACACAGCCCGTTTCCCTCCTTGCTCCAGATTCCTTGAAGAAAGAGACACGACAGGGAAAGGAGGGAGAGGGGGCGAGCTGTCCAGATTGTACGTGAGCTCTGCCGGTTCCTCCCAAGCGGCTTTAGCTTCACTAAGGCCTCGTTTCCCCAGAACAGGTGCCAGGCACGGTCCCAGGCACCCAGTAGGTGGGTTCAGCAAATGCTTCTGAATTGGTATCCTCGGCTCAGGACAGATTGGACTGTGTGGCTGACATCAGGGGCTGGCAGGCTTTCAGGAGGGACTTGCCAAATGCTCATGTATTCACTCTAATTTAAGGACTTGGGTGCTGGTAATAACCACCTTCCCCCAAGGCATTGTGGGTTGGGAACCTCCTTGTCGGCCGGTGCCAGGGGAATAGCAGTGTTACCGTGATGCTGCTCCGTATGCTCATGGCAATCCAGCAGCAGACAACACTGGCCAGGCGCCTCCTCTGTCCGAGCCACACTGCCGGGCTGTGGGGCACGGGAGCCTGGGCCTGCGTGCTGTGACCTCGGTCCAGGGGAGATGAGGACGGAGACCTGATGCCCTCCTGGGCTCAACAGGAGGCCGTGCGTTAGCCAGGGCTGATCTGTAAACACAAACCTTTTGCATTCAGGAGAGTGTGCGGGGAAGGAAAATGGCCTAAACTGGGAGCACACGCAGTACAAATCCAGGCAGAGGGAGCCCAGCTGACACCATCACTCATTTGGACAAGTACCCTTCCCTCAGTAAGAAAAATGGAAGCAATTTCAAGCTGGCTTTTTTTTTTTTTGGTAGCAAAATCCTTTCTTCCCAAATGAAATCTTACAAAGAACCCCAGTATATACAGCACATAAAAAACCGGCTGTTCTGGCTGGACTGGGGCTGGAACACTCCCATCAAGTTCCCGCTCAAAATCAGTTCCATGGAACACAGCTCAGAAATAAATCCCTGGGCTCCGTGATCTCCGTGGGCCCATCAGCTCTCACCTTAATAGTCTCTGTTAGACCATGAGGGGGGCTCCATGGCTTAGGGGTTCAGGAAAAGGTCAAGAACCTAGGAAAAGTGGCAGGAGCTTCTAGAAGCTGACCTTCCAGACCCCGGAAAGGAGCTTGTCTTCTCCGTCTTCCTCAGCCCTGTGGCGGCAGGAGCTCGGGTTCTGTGTGCGACGTTGAGTTGTTTTGCCCATTTGAGCCTCGGTTTCGGTCTGAAACGTGGATCGACATCACTGACCTCCCAGGGTTTTTGAAGGAAGTCAGTGAGGCTGTCAAGTAAAGGACCCCTGTGCCCAGAGCTGGGCTCCAGTCCCACGTGGGGCAATAGGATCCGAGTCTGGACCGGAGTCTGACCTCCCTGGGGCGTGTTTTTGCTTTTCCTGCAGCAGCTGGGCCAAGCTGCCTCAGTCACTGCCCCGCATCGCTGCAGGGAGGGGGTGCCGTCCAGCCCCATAGGTCCCTGCTGCCAGCGGAACGGAGAAGTGATATTCTCAGGGCCGGGTTGGAGGCCCTTCCAGGGCTGAGGGGACCCGGTGGCGATTCATCCCGCTGCATCTCCGAGCCCAGGACATCTTACCACAAGCTCTTTTTTAGAAAATCTGAATGAATAAGTGTCAGGAGGGCATGATCCGGAAGCAGAAACCCCAGTTAATCTGCGGGCTTTCCCAGAAACCTTTAGAAGTGGGAATTCCGGGACAGGGTACCGGGTAGGGCAGGGGGAGAGCTGTTTTCCCTGTGGAGCTTCCATCCGCTCACATAGAATTTGCCAAGGAAATGGTGGCCTCTGAGCCACCTGGAAGTGCTCGTCTTCCACGGAAAACCCCAGGGTGGGCTCCGGCCCCTCCCCGAGCACGCGGCAAGCGAGCTCCCTGCACACGGGCCGTTCACAGTGGCCTGGGCCGCACTCGCTCACGGGAATGGGCCGTAGTTACAGCTACGGGCTTTCCAAAGCCCCAGCCAGCGACGGAACAAGTAGTGCCCTTCGGTCTGGTGACTCCCCGGGCCTCAACCTCCCTCCCACCTGCCCTCCTGACCCCCTCAAACGTCTGTCCCTTTACTTTTCGGCCTCCTGCCCCTCACCATGGATCCTTTACTGTCTGCCTTCGCCACGGGTGTGACATCTCTTCACAGGCCTGGGGCCTGCCTCGGGGTGTCGGCCCTTCCTCCGTCCCGGACCCCCGCCCCGCACGCCCCGGGTCTGCGGCCCGTCACTGCATCCTCTCTCCCGCAGCGATCGAGCAAAGCATCGAGCAGGAGGAGGGGCTGAACCGTTCCTCCGCGGACCTGCGCATCCGCAAGACCCAGGTGGGAGGCGGGCCGGGCGG